AAGCAAGGTAAGAAAGCCCTTAGGCTAATTCTAATTTAGTACAATCAGGTCTTAGTTTGGAATTTTCAAAAAGTTTTGTTTTCCTACATTGACTCATTTAGACTAATTTACTCCAAAATTAAAGTTAACTAAATTAAATAAAAAACTAATATAAGGTGACTAGTTAAATTTTGAAAAGTTCTTATATAATAAAAATCCCTTTCTCCTTACAATGAGATCATAATCAGTGTAGGAATCAAATGTTTTAAAGTTAAAATGTAATTTTGTGCTAAATAGGAGCATACTTATTCCTTATCCTCATTCGAGTGCATAAAGAACATTAACTAACCTAAAGCAATTTCCTAATTGATATGGTTATGCTGGGTAGGTTCTAGCTTGTCACTTCCAGATTATCCACCATGCCCTCTCTATAGGACTAACCGGGCTTCAGGTTCCAAATCTAGATTAAATTGGTAAAGATTCTAGCCCGCCACCCTAAAATCACTAATTCTACTCCCATCAAAACTTATCTTCCTATTTATTTGCACTCCTTGTTGGACTAAGTCTCCTCCCATCCTAAGAGTTAATGTGGTATTCACTAGTTGTATTAAATCATAACCATTTAGGATCATTATATTTTGGAACTGATTTTAACATTACAAATGGTCAGTTTGCAAAGTAAATTAAGAACATGTGAAAATACCATCACAATTTTGGAATAAAAGAAATCTTTAAACCATTCTAATCCCTCACATGATTAATTCTCATCACAAGGAGAAAGAGTAATGAAAACTGCTCACTAAGCATGGAGAAAACACAATAGAAAACTTCATTTAAATCAAAGAAAATTTAATAAAAAAGTGCTTACAACAATTATAAGATAATTAAAACCACAATACTTGGCTTTTTCCCTCTGAAAGAAAGAAGAAAATCTCTCCAACAAAGTCTCCTATTGATCCACACGATGCTCGTACAATTACTTAAAGATATCTCTCAAAATTCCTCACCAATCTCTCCAGAAAAAGTAGAAATTTACATTTCCTACTCCTATCTACGACCTCTGGATGTTTTTGGAGATTCTAAGAGTTTAAAATGCCAAAAGTTGCCTTCCAAAGTGCCCAAAAGTTTCCTTATAACTCCTTGGGGCATCTAAAAGCCGTCTAAAACTGTTTCTGGTGCCTAGGCACCAAAATGTGGCACCTAAGCGCCAATGCCTAAATTTGCACTGCTTAGTCTTAGGGTCCAATTAACCTGTCTTGACCTCATTTTAATCATTAAAATTAGTGTTTTATGCTTCTTATATTTCAGCTCCAATCCACTCCAAATGTTATACCTAAAAGATAAACATGAAAATAACCTTTCTTTAAAGTGCAATTTCATTCAAAAATATATTATAAATGTTAAATTATAAATGTAAATGAGATTAAGCATAGAAAGATATATCAAACTATGTTAGATCAAAATTTTCTTCCTTGCTCGATTTGACATCAAATTGCACCATTTTTGCTCCATTTTCTCCAAAACTCTTTTTCTTGTTTTTGGAACCAAAAACATGCAAAATGCATTCCCTTAAAGTGCAATATCATTAAAAAAGAGCATAAAATTGAACATGAAATTCACTCTATAAACAAGTAATTTTAAGGTAGATCATCACACCGCCTCTCTGTAAATATGGGATTGTCATGTCAGATTGAAGCGAGACCACACCAAATTCTAGCTTGATCACACCGCTTTAGACCGCTTTTACATTATTTTTTTATCATTTCAAAATGCACGGATTCAACTTCTGTTACCTGTAAAACATCAACAAAACTTTTTGCAACTGTAAAAAAGTGATAAATCAATAAAAATAACAGGTAAAATGCAGGATAAAAAGTAAGTTAATTCATGTAAAATTAGATCATGTGAATACCCCTAAACCTACCTCATTACTTGCGCTCAAGTAATCTCTTTTATCATTTGGGGCCCCATGAGAAAAATAGGTACTCTCAAAATTATTCAACTTCTTTGTCAAAGTCAAATAAAAGTGTTTAAGTGTCATTTCAGGGGGTTAATTATTCTTAATGTTTAATAACTTTATTTTTTTTCCTTAATCCCCTTTGTTCCTCCCCTAGAAAATCTCAAAGATGCTTAAATTGGTGATGTTAAAATACATTAACTAACCTCTAATATTTTATAGCAATTCCAGTGAAATTAGCCAACTTAATCCTACTTAATATTTTTCTTAAGGGTAACATTAGATGGGTTTCATTAAAGAATCATGAAAAAGTCTTATCACTTAAGTTCTACTAGCCACCTTCCCAGTTTTCTTTCTTTAAATTTTAATGCAAACCTCAAGCTTCTTCTCAGGGTTTTTCACGTTTTACACTTACTTTTTCTTATTTTTTTTTCCTTCTTTGTTTTTCTTTTTCTTTTTGTTTTTCCCTGAGAATTATTATATCTAGTTAGGCAATTTTTTTTCCTTAAAGATATTTGGAAAGCTTAGTTTTTCTTAAGCAATAAATTTAAAAAAAATTATTGTTTAATGCGGCACATTTCAGTTAAAATTAAGATAACACCGAACTAGCTAACAAAAACTAAAAAGACTTAAAACATCTTTGGTTTGCTACTTATTTTTTTAACTACACCTTTTTAATTATTTTAAGATTTCTTTAGGTATAGTTAGAATAGCTAAGTTCTGAAATATCATTTTTGAAACATTAAGGTTAATCTTTCTTAAATGAAATTTATCCTTCTTTAAAAGAAAATTTGTTAAGCTAGTTGAATTAATCAGAATTCCTAGTAAGAGTTACCATATTAATATTTTTAGTCTTTTGCTGATTTATATGAATTACTCTCAGACACGTAAAAAGGTAAATATTTTTCCCTCAAACTTGTTTTTTTCGATAACATATATAACATGCAAATAAAAGTAAATATGGGTACAAAAATTAAAGGCGGGAAAGATTAAATACAAGAGCAACCATAATAATCTCATAATACAAGTATGTAAAATATGCAACAATGCATAAATCAAAAGAGGTGTAAAAGTATAGCGGACACACAAATCGGTGCTCTCGACTCCTGACCCATAATTTGGGACTAACTACTCCGTTGTGGGACAAGACTCAAAACTAATTCAAATGAAATTTTAAATCAAATTTTAAAGAAATTTTTAAAACAAAATTCAAAGTAAATTTTGAAACAAATGCATAAAGTAAAAGCATGTTCAACAAATCAGATAATACTTGGGTTATCTCTCAAGATAACGTCTGATTTAACTGCTCATCATAATGGAAAAGGCTGTCTCTGGGGTCAAAATTCCAATTTAGTAATATCTGATTAATTGTACAATATTTTATTGGTCCTAGAGTTTTTACTAAGTCTTCAAAAATTAGATTTTATTCCAACATTTCTCTCTTAACTCAAACGCAGTCTTCTAAAGAGTATGTAGGGGGGTCTATTGAGATTATCATTTATAAGGGTATTTTTTAATAAAAAATTCTTCCAATTAATTCCCTTCTTTGCATATCAATGTTTCCTCACAAGTTACAAGAAATTGGTCCTTAAAAAATTATTCCTGGTCTGATTGGATTGTCCCTAAGTTTATTAGGCTCACGATCTAAGTCTATATGGTTATTCTTCTACCTAGGGGTATCCTCCAATTCCTTCTCTTGAGGCAATCCTATGTTTAGTCCTGTATGGTCAACTATATCCCCTACAATGCAAGGGGGTGCTTGGAAAAAAATGAGTAAATTCTTCCTTAATCATTGTCCCACCAAGATCTTCATATTTTTCAAGGACCACTTGTTCAAATTCTAAGTTATGACTCTCCACTACTGTTGACATCCTTTGAGATACCAAGCTAGCTAATTGCTCCTTTTGATTTTCTTTGCTTCTTAATGTTGCCATTTGGCTTTGTAATCTATTCAACATGTTTTTTTGTTAATTCATTTAATTAGTCATATTCTTCAGAATACTCACTATCCTGATAATCCAATATTCTATAGATTATTTTGAGCGCCCGTCCATTCCCGTCTTAGTTACCACCAAATTCTCAGGCTTCGTTTCAAGACAAACAACTTATCCTGAAACGCACAAGCTGCCCCAAACACACAACTAAGTTTGGAGAATTAGGTGGCATGAATGTAAATACCCGTTTAATTTTCTTAAAAATGCAAATAAGGAAACTAATCGCCCAGCATATATCAGCAGAAATCAAGCGGAGATCTAGAGCACGAGTACACGATATCGACGTAACGGTTTCGTCGCTTGGCTCTTCTTCGCAGATCCGTAGCTGCAAACCCTTCAGAGTCCACGACAGAGCGGGAAGGAGGGCGTTGAGGCCAGCTTGATCAACCCCCTATTCGATTACCTGACGTTCGATTGCCGGAGCTTCCCGCAGCTGATCTCTGCTCGATTTGATCCGGATCTGCCTGGTTCGTTCTAGGGTTTTTTGGTATTTCTTGGGCTTCTCGACCAGGAATGGCGCCCCAGCAGTCATCTCCCGCCGGGGCTCCCCCCTCCGCCCAAGTGGTAAACATTCTATTATTGAAGCATGCCTTTTGTTTCCTGTTCTTGATAGTTGAATCAGGAATTCGACGTATTCTGAGTTTTTTTTTTGATCTGGTGTGACGGATAGGTCGGGAATGTTTTTGTCCAGCAGTTCTTTCACATCCTCCATCGATCACCAGCGCTCATTCATCAGTTTTATCAGGATAGTAGCAAACTGGGACGGCCAGGAGCCAACGGAGAGATGATCACGGTTTCCTCTTTGCAAGTAATTTCTGATTTCTTTTGTTTGTGATTCCAATTAGAAATTGTTCTGAAAGAGGGATCTTATCTTAAGTGATTGTGTTTTGTTGAATCTGATTGGTTTTGTTTGTTGGTGAAGGGCATCGATGAGAAGATTCTGTCTATGAATTGCAGTGAGTACTTAGCACAGATCAAGACGGTTGATGCGCAGGAATCTCTTGATGGTGGAGTGATGGTGCTAGTGACGGGTTGCCTCATTGGGAAGGATAATGCGAAGAGGGACTTCACACAGACGTTCTTTCTTGCCACCCAGGACAAGGGCTACTATGTTCTAAATGATATTTTTCGATTTCTGGACGTTGATGATCAGCAGGAGGAGCAGGATTTTACGCAAAAAGCTGCTGGTCAGACCACGGAGCATGGTATGGTTTGGAAGCATATCTGAGCTTGATGATATATTTGTTTCAAGACCATTTATTTAGTCATTTCTATGGGATTTGTTTTTTCTTCTTTCTGCAGACTCAATTCCTTCACAGGAAGAAACTGTTCTTCAGCACACTGCAGCAACACCAGAAGAGAATGTAGTGAATGAAGAGGAAAGTTATGTTCTTTTGGAATCAGGGGAAGGTTCAGCTGCTGAAGATGAAGAGCCAGTGGAGGAGGTGATTAATGAGAGTCCAACTGATTCACCGGCTGCAGTAACTGCTCCAAGTCTTTCAGATGGACAAGAGCACAAGAAATCTTATGCTTCTATTGTGAGTTCTAATATGCATGCGATTTATTTTGTTTCAATTTAATAAGATAATGGAAATGGACATCTTTTAAATCTTAAATTGTCTTGTTATACTTTACTATTCTATATATATATATATATATATATCTACTAGACAAACAATACTGAGATTCTGGTTTTGAATGAAAATGATTAACTATTGCTGCCAAGATGAGTTGATATGCTTATTAAATGGTTCAAAAAGCAAACTTAAAAGGAACAAAGCTTCTATTGTGAGTGATAATATGATTGCATAATATTTTATTTTAATTTAACAAGACAACAAAGATGGGTTTCTCATAAAACTTAAACTATGTTATTATATGGTGTTTTTTCATCTCTTATCAAAGACAGAAATTTTCAACACTAGGACCACTATCATATTATGATCAGAGGTTTGTTTTGTCATCAAACTATCATTGTGCTATATGCTTTGACATTAGCACATTATTTATGAATACATTAGTCTTCTTTTTCACCTTTTCAAGCATCGTGGAACACAATCAAACATTCTTGTTAGAGCAAAAAATATGCTTCCATTTTTTAACATCTCATTTAAAAACCTTTCCACAATATTTGTATTTAGATAAACATGTGTTTTTTCATTCCCTCTTATTTTATTTTGCACAGTATGCTTCAATAATCAACCTTTTTTATGTTTTATGGTGCTTTTTTCCCTGCCTTTTACCAATTTAGAAAGCCCTAAGAAAAACTTTAATTTAAAAAAAAAAAAACTGACACCAAAATAATCATCAAAACCCTTAGGTTCAACCCAACATGAACCTAAGTCAATCAAAACCCTTAGGTTCAACCTAACTTGAACCTAAGTCAACCTAAATTCATAGGTTCAACCTAACTTGAACCTAAGCCCATTTAAATTCTTTAGGTTTAACCCAAATTGAAGTTAAAGCTTCAACCTACATTGAACCTAAACCTTAAGTCTAACCTACATTAGACTTAACCAATCTCTCTCAGGTTCAACCTACATTGAACCTAAACTTAAGTCTAATATACATTAAACTTAATCAACCTTTCTAATTTCAAAGTAGATTGAATATAGACTATTATTTCTAGCTTAAACTAGATATAACTTAAGTCTAATTA